GAAGCAATATTAAACCTCTGTATTGCAGAGGTTGTAGACACTTCTAAAGTCTACATGCACTTGAATGACTGGCAAAGTCTCACGTGATCATTTCAAAATTGGGTAAATAGTTTTCAACCAGAGGAGTCTCACACACACGCACACACACACACACACACACACACACACACACGCACACACACACACACGCACACGGAGCAGGATGTGTCTGTCAGTCAGTGATGGTGTGTACCAGCTGAACACAGACAGCAGCAGAACAGCAGCTCTGCGCGCCGTTTTCTCAGCATGGACACTTTCTTTTTTAAACTTTAACAAAATATCATGTTATTGATCCCACATCAATGGAAACCTATCTCTCGTGACATAAAATAAGTTGTCAGTTGAGATGCACAACAAGCATGACGGTGCAAGTTGCATGGTTACCACAATGCAACATTTCAATATTATAAGCAACAAGTGTTGTGTCAGGTGTATGCCCATTTATTCCCCCACAACAAATAACAAGTGTTACATTTATTTGAAGTTTTCTTCTTTTCCTCTCGTGGAAGCTGTGACCGATTAAAAGATACCAATGTAGTTTACATGCCCATTCATCAACCTAAACACGCATATGACCTGTGTCTACCTTACAAAGGGCTACACTACACTGAGCATGTTTAAAGAAAGGTGACAACACTGCCATTACGCATACAACTCCACGTTCAGGGTAAAGAGGTCCGCGGGTGGAAACACAACTTGCAGCATCAGACACAAACAAACTATCACAGAGTTTAAGATGTAGTTTCAGACACTCACCCTCTATGGCAGATCCGTCCAGCACGGTGCTAAAGTCTGATATAGATTATAAAGAAATGACTCGCTCCTGTACTGATCTCTAATTTCTATTTGATCCAAACACGGATGGACCACGTACAGGTCCTGTCCATCGTCTCCAATGTCACTGAACGCGACCAATGCGAAGTCATGGAAGAGCACAGAGTCTGGTGCTGCGTTTAAGTATCATGAGACAAGTCGTAAATATGACAACCTATTGCTCTCCCAGTGGGTGGGCCTCTAAAAAATGTACTTAGCCTACTCGAAATGTCATTTTCTGAATAAGTTGACTTAATATTCCAGGTGTCCTAGGTATCAGTTAACAGGCTATATGGTGAGTATCACTATCAGCCTTATATACATGGCTTAAACAATGAAGGACTTAAAAAAAAGAAAAAAGAAAAAAAAGACAATTCACAACACAAATTCATGCTTACAGCACATTACTTCTTTATTTGGAAATGATTGCACGACTTGAGGGATTTTTGGACTCCCTCTCCCCCTTAGCATATTTATCTGGCATTATTAGTTATTTATTCCCACAGTCTGTGAACGCAGCAGCAGGCAGTATGTGACAGACATGTCGTGCAGTGACTCAGAGATGAGTCAGAGCGTCGTGTCCCGCCCACACCGGGGGCGGCAGCCAATGGCGCTCTTGCGGAAGTGGGCACAGAGAAGGTGGACAGTCACGCAGACCCTCCACGGTCCCCCGGTGTGGGTTTTGAAGGGACGCTGACTCCCCGTTATGTGCGGAAATGATCCGTTTTGCCCATAAAGTGGGCGGGTACGTAGATTAAATGTGACGTCATAGGCCTACATGAGAAAATATTTTACTATGACGAATAAATAAGATATTTAATAATCAGTGAGGTGTGATCTGATTATGCATCAATTTATAAATAATGTTTTTGTGACTTATTCAAAGCAAATTGTCCATACAGGTAAGTCTAAACAACAAATCACCTTTAGTGTATGAGTGTCCATATAAACATCATGCAGGCATCTCAATATGTTGCATTACATTAGAGCACTGTCTGTTGAACAAGAGATATTTGCGCTCACCATCATTTAAAAACATTCCTGCCCAACTGCAGATCCTCCATTGCACTTCTCTTTTGATTTATCTTGAATTTTTTTTTTTTAATCTCATTCTATTTAAAATCTCCTTGACAGTGCACACACACATAATGCTGTTGCTGTTAATTGTGCCCTTTGACCTGCTTGCTGGACATACATTAATGGAGAAATATCAGAGTGAGGGGGGTTGTGCACACGGGGCACCGTTGAGGGTTTGGTGCCTTGCTCAAGGGCTCATTGGAAGTACTCTGACACATCTCCAGCAACCAGACCACTTTTCATTCTCTGATCCGTACTGGGACTTGATCCGGCAACCCTGCCAATCAAAGTCCCAGAAGACCGAGCTACTTCACCCCTAACAGCTCAATAACTGTAATATCAATGTGGAGTTAACTGGACAAAACTTTTCATAAAATACACCAAAGTAACCAGGACGCTATACGAGCCTTTTTAAAGCGAATGACCTTCATGGATGTCTTGTGCCTGGTGAGGAAAGACGTCAAGAGAGGAAGGGTCCAGAATTTAAAACCCTTTTAGGATGGTTCAGGTTTTTGTGAATGAACTGCAGCACACACTTACACACAAACAGACCATAAACACAGCACAGGAAGTCTGCTGCCCTCTGCCTTCTGAAATCACTCTCAGCAGGCTGCACGTCATGAGGAGCGCCACTCCTCCAAGAAACTTGACTGAAAAAAAATGAATCGAGTGACTAAAACATGAGAAATTCACGTCAGTCCTGCTCTTTTTGAAAGAACCTTTAAAAGTATCACCTGTCTGAAAATATATATGAAATTGTCTGCTCTGTCAAAGCCCTTTGTTTTGATTAGAAATGTAAAATGTGCATGAGTCTCTTTATTTCACAGTACACCATTAGGTCCGCACATACAGTATAAATGTTATCAGGTCATTAAAGGATTCTTACATTAAAGTCTTCGGTATGTACGGTATCTGCCAGGGCCGACATATTGAATGTAAACCAGTTAAAGGACTGTCAACTTTCCCGCTCCTCTCCCTTTACTTAAGTCTCTCTCTCTTTTTGAAGATTACAACAATAGTGAGAATATTCTTTTTGTCTCTCACTAATGTGACTTCCTCTTAAACTAGAGATGGGTTAAAAGATGAGGCAGTGAGATGAAATACAGACAGATTGTGTTTAATGGTGCAATATATGAAACATGACTTTGTTGCAGAGGAAAAACTGCTGTTCTAGCATTACAATTGTTTCATTCTCCTCCGAGGTGATGATGAGATGCTAGGTGGGTGGGGGCGCCAAATCATGATCTCGCCCAATTAAGGCAGGAAAATGGCCAGAGCCAGGTGGGGATTTACTCAGCTTTCCCTCCTCCAGCTTCTTGTGTCGGACCAGACGTGACTTGTCCTGCTGTGCCCCCTGCTGGAGGAACTCTGCTTTAAAACCCTGTTTCTCTAAAGAGTATTAAACTTCTCGTCAGGATGGAACAAGTCCTCAGTAGAGGAGTTCATTTGGTTAAGTGAACCAAATGAAATGGTGAAACTTGTCTCTTTTTGGCAGTTTTTAATTATGATCTTGTGAAAATGATACATCTGGAGGCAAAATATTGTGATTTGGGGTTTAGTGTCTCGCCTGAGAACACCTTGACATGTGACTGCAGAAGCTGGGGATCAATTCCTACCTTCTCTGGCTGACAGACGATTGACTTAACCGCTGAGCCACGTCCACTCTACTGTAGTTCACAAAGACACAGTAGAGTGATCACAAACTGTAGCCCTTTATAAATGTTAGTAGGGAAGCTCTGCCGAGATTACGCCTTTGTACTTTAAAATTGAATCTTCAACTGTGTAATGTCCCAGTGTTTTAAGATTATACATTTAATTACAGCATTGTGGAAGAATAAGACGCATAACGTGTAAACAATCAGCTCAAATACAGTTCACACTCACAGCACGGCTCTGCCCTCTTGGTAAAACCTGCATGTTTTTACAGGGACTCAGTTTGGCCTCTTTTATGCCTCTGTTACTACATCTGATGCTGACTCGGAGGCGGCACCATAACGCCTCTGTGACCTTTACAATGAGAGTAAGACGCTATAGGGGTGTAACAGTCCTGTCCTGGACCTACAATGTAAAATGGGCTTTTGCGAGAAACGGTGATAATGTCTGTGATTTCTTCTGTTGTTCATACATAAAATTCACCACACATTTTATGAGTGTGTACATCATTGGTTGGCAGTGGTGCAGCGCTGAACTCTGTTGCCTTGGTTCAAATCAAAGCTGGGGCCTTTCTGTGTGAAGTTTAAATGTTCTCTCTGTGTTCCCTTGAGTTCTCAATGCGTTCGCTGGCCCCTCCCATAGTCCAAAGACATATTGGTAAGGTTAATGGTGACTCCAAATTGCACAAAGGTCGTTGTTGGGTTTTTCAGTGAGACTGATTCTCTGTCTCTATGTTTCAGCTCTGTGATTGACAGCTGGGATCGGCTCCAGCCCCAACACAACCTTTAGCAGGATTAATGATGTAGGCTACATATTTATCCTTGTTAATGCTGGTCTCTCCTGGTCATGTTAATTAGGCCAAATTATGAGCAACTGAGAGTCCGCGCAGCATCAGTTTTCACAAGTGCAGAGCCTCTGAGTAACAGCAGCCTACTGTTAGCATGATTTCTTATTGTTAGCATGTTGTGCATCTATAGTTATATTTCTGTTTGTGAGTTTGTTGAATGGAAAAGGCAGGTGTAATGATTGTGAGATAATATTCTGTGTACTTCGCTGTCCTTAAGATTAATACGAGTGACACAGAATCATTAGTATAGCTTCGTCTTGTTTCTGCCTTCTTGTATAAAAAGTGTGATTGTCCTGATCTCAGCTGACCTTCACTTCAAGCCTCCGTACACACAGGTGTTTTTAATGATTCTAACTGATTAGACCAGGTCAGGTTGTAAATGTAGGTGGAGCTTTGGTGAGAATTCATGATGTAATAACTTCTAATTACCAACAAATATGCTAAAAAGGTCTCATGTCGTCCTTCCCAAAAGGGCACACTGTGGCCATTCTAGGTATAGCAGTTACTTCAGGTACTGAGTTTAATACTTTTTAATGTTTTCCTCTTTTAGAAATTATTACACACTCAACGTGTTTCTACTGGAACTTCCGGACAATTAGTTTGACAAGTTTCCTCAGTGACGTAGGCCTTGTGATTTCAGGTACCAGTGTACCTGTCTCTCCTACATCTTCCACATCCACTGCAGCTTGACACAGGAAGAGTACCAGCATATCTACTATGATGTGACGGCTGACATGCTAAAGTATGTTTGAGCCAACAACCTGAAAACTATCACCTATCGTATCAGACGGAAGCGTTGGGAGAAAGTGGACTGATCCATGATTATGAGATCAACCAACGATGGTGGACTTGTTGTCCATGTGGAAAAATCAAGGGTGAAGTCTACCTTCTTCTCTACGATGTCCACACTTTGGGAGAACAAAAAAACATATAGAGCCAAGACCTAAAATGAAAGTGGACACTGGCCTATACGTTCAATAAGATCTCATCTGTAAATACACATGCAGTGAGACTACTGCGAGATGAACCCGAAACAAGTCGGAAATCTGTTAAAAGATAACGTGACTGTATTTTGATACATACAACATAATTTAAAATAATGCATCCCAACTCTCCTGAAGAAACTTTGAAGTCATTTAGCGTCATGCGTAAAAATGGTTCGCTCCGCCTGCAGCCTATAAGCGTCTCAAAGCTCATTAAGTCCCTCACTTTATCTCGGACTCACAGCAAAGATGGACCACGGAGACCGCTACACCTCCTCATCCTACCGGAAGATTTTCGGGGATTCTCCCAGGTTTTCCGCCTCCTCCTACCGCATGAGCAGCTCCTCTCCCCGGGGCTCCCCGGGGCTCCGGGCTGCGTCATCCCGCAACAGCTCGACCTCCATGAGTCTGTTCAGGAGGGTCGGCCGCACCTCCACCTCCTTCTCCCCAATGACGATGACCGACTCCCTGGACCTGAGCCAGACCTCTGTGGCCAACAATGAACTCAAAGTCATCAGAACTAACGAGAAGGAGCAGCTGCAGGTGGGTTAGACATGATGGAAACATTCACGTTTTTCACGTGATTACAACAACAAAAACAACAACAACAACAAAAAGATAATTTAGAAATATTTTAAATAACTGGGTCACAGACAGAAGTCTTTTCCATAAATAAAATCACATTGTATAGCCTTAATGTTCAGATATTATACAGAACGCAATGTGCACAACCTGACCTGTAAAGGGATGAAGCACATGGATTACGATAAGCTTATATTCATTTAAAACCAGGACATCTACTCCCAGAAACATCATTTTCACAACACTTCACAGCTGATCAGGTCCACATTTATGTCTCATAAGTTTATAACTCTGGTGTCGCGATCCTTAAGTATCAGGACACCTGATGGAGTAAATACATTTAAATGGATGAAAACTTCTTGGCGAAGATGCTTTTTCTTAATATTATGAAGCCTGATGTAATTAACTTCAGACATCCTGTTCCCTACATGTATGATTAAGATCATATATGATTAACTTGAATGTATCAGGGGATGTGAAGGGGAATTGCCTGCCACTCTGTTGCTTTTTGGGATCAGCTGGAGAATCTGTTCTTCCTCCAGCTTTAGAGCGTCATTTGATTTAGTTCATGTCCTTTATAATCCACCTGGGGTTTGTACTCTCTGCCTATCCCTATATTGCAAACTAGCTAAAAAACTATTCTCAATAAATGTAGCTGGAAGAGGCCCAGACTGCAACGCCTTCAGTCATTTGTTACTTTAATTGACTTAAAACATTTGCCATCAGGATTAATCAGAAATCCACAAGAATGTGGTTAAACACATTTGAAGTAATGGATTGGTCATTTAAAATGTGGATTTGTAAAATGAAATGATGAATTATGTTACATGCAGGAGCGTTTTTAAGCATTAAAGAGGATTTTAATCTAAATGTAACATTTATCCTGTTGTCTAGGGTCTGAATGACCGCTTTGCCATGTTCATCGATAAAGTGCGTAACCTGGAGCAGCAGAACAAAGTGTTGGAGATGGAGCTGGTGACCCTGAGGCAGAAACACGGGGAGCCGTCCCGCGTCACTCTTCTCTACCAGCAGGAGTTGAGAGACCTGAGGTCCCAGGTGGAGGAGCTGAACCGAGACAAGAACCACATTCTGATCGAGAGGAACAACATGGAGGACGAGCTGCAGGTAACACGACCGGGTAGAATGACAAGGAGAGTAGGAAGGGAATTTTCCTCAATATAGTTTTTATGTATGTCACCTCAATTCTCATTCTTTTACACAGGTTCTTTTTTATATTTTTACATATTTTGGATTTTAAAGGACCAGTAGGAACGAAAGGTTCTGTGGTTAGTCCAGTAAATTGAATAAGTCAGCTGCCTGCATAAGAGTCAACATAATCCTTGAAGAAGGTACGCCCTATTAAGGGACATCCACTACTGTCTGACAACTTTAGGGTGAAGATACTTCTACAGGCTGCTAGCTTTTTGTTCATATGATGTTTTTTTTTCTTCCCTCAGAGCCACCAGACTCCATTAACAAAAACAACCATTTTACCAGCAAATTAAAAGAGTTACTGGTCCACTGCTGCTGGTTTAAAAAAAACACAAATTAAAAATGTCTCTATAAGGATGCTTTGTGTGATATAGTTAGACACCAACAGTTACTGTCAGTTTTAGTGGAAGTACCGTTATGTGGTCCAGATACCCCCAAAGATTATGTTTCAGTGTTTTTTTGTGACTGTTAGCTTAAGCAGTCCACTGGAGAAACTTCAAATCTTTCTTTACTTTTTAGTCATACAGATCAACATACTGGAACTCACGTCTCATGTCTCATTCTGTTCACTATGTGTCATTTCAGAAGCTCGCAGTGAAGTATGAGGAGGAGATGAGGACCCGGGAGGAAGCTGAGCAGACTTTGAGGGCCTTCAGGAAGGACATAGATGATGCTGCAGCCGTCCGCCTGGACCTGGAGCGCCGCGTGGAGTCCCTGATGGACGAGATCTCCTTCCTGAGGAAAGTACACGATGAGGAAATCCAGGAGCTGAGCAGCTTGATGGACGCGCAGCAGGTCTCTGTGGAGCTGGAGCTCGCCAAACCGGACCTCACCTCCGCTCTGAAGGAGATCCGCAACCAGTACGAGTCCATCGCCTCCAAAAACCTGCAGTCAGCTGAGGAGTGGTACAAGAGCAAGTTTGCCAGCCTGAGCGAGCAGGCCACCAGGAGCAACGAGGCCATGAGGGCGAGCCGGGAGGAGATGAGCGAGTTCAGGAGGCAGCTGCAGTCCAAGACCATCGAGATCGAGACCCTGAGGGGCGCCAACGAGTCTCTGGAGAGGCAGATCGCAGAGATGGAGGATGCGCACCACACTGAAGTCACATCCATGCAGGTAAGCATCTGTAGTCATTTAAAAAAAACACTGACTGGTTTCTGACTGGATTAAACCAGAGGGACTTATAGTGTCATGTACTACGGCCTCCATTAAGACTATGTGTAAGAAGTTAATGTGTAGTTGGTTTGTTGAACATGTTTTGAAACTTCTTGTTTGTCTTTTTGGGCGTCACCATCTTGGTTTTTAGGAGTTAGAGTTGACCATATTTGGACAAGAGGGTGGAGCTTGAGGGGAGCGAGGAGTTAGCAGATGCTAAGTTATTTGCTAACACTACAGCTAGCTTGGTTAACAAGGAGAACCTGGAATCCAAAGTTACTATGACATTAACTGGGATGCAGATTTAGCAAGCTACAGAAGGCTTAAAACTAAATGTAGTCACCAAACAAATTAACAGCAGACTCATTGAGTACAACCCAGTGATGCATGAGGACATGGCAGTAGAGACGTGTCAAACTAAAGGTTGGGATGCTCTAAAGCATACATTTCACCTCTAAAAAGGGACCACACTTTTCCACAAAATGGACATTATGCTGGCGTGAAGAAGACTTGAAATTAGCTGTTGAGACAATAAATCTGTCAGCGAAATGCCATGTTCCCGTAGAATTCCGTACAAGGAGATTTCTCTTTGCAACCAATGGATTTGTGATCTTTGGAAAATTGAAATGGGATTATCTCTTCCATGGATATTTAGGAATGCTAGAGCTGTTTTTGTTGAGGTTTGCAGGAATGAATAAAACGTACATCTTAAAACCTTTCTCTACATAAGAATGTGAAGTAACCCTTTACATTTAAAACACTATTTTGGGCTTTTTAGCTACAAAATAGATGTGCGCTAATCTCTCTAACGTCTATGGTATAAAAATATCTACTACAGTTATTTAATACATGAAGGCAGAACTGTAACATGCAGTTCATCAGGGATAAAAATACTTTATTGCTTTGTGAGACTCTTTTGTAAATCATAAATGATCAGGGGATGAAATCCCATCAGATACTACTCTTCCTGTGTTAGCAGCAGAGTTGTAAAAGGTCAAATTTAAGATGAACTGAGTGCTATTTAAATGTCTGTATAAAAAGGAAGTCACCTGCTGGCACAGCGTGCAGGTCATGACTGTCTACAACACTTCAGAATAATAGGATCTAAAGGGAGTCAAGTTCCTCTTGATTTATGTCACATCCTCAGCCTGAGTAATGCTGTTAGCTAACACAGCAGGGAGTCCTCGACGTAAACATGTCAAGGACTGAGCAAGCAAATGCACAATATAGACAATCTTACTCTTTAAGCAATTACACTTTCATATGCCTAACGCCCCTAAAGATAAAAAAAAAATCATGACACTGTCACTTTTAGAATCAATAAAGTCACAGACAGAAAGAGTCTTTACAAAGACTGGGCGTCTTACCAAGTCACTATTAAGACCAGTGCAAGCTTACTGTTGTGATTATATTATCAAGCCAGCTGTTGACCAAAGTTACACTGGTGTCTGCAGCAGTTTGCATAATCTTGCACTACTGAGGCTGTAATGTTAGCCTGATTAGCATTACAAGCTAACAGGCTACAAGCAAGACATTCACTTTAAAAAAAAACAAAAAAACTTCAATGTGGAAAAAAGAAGCCAGTGTTTAAGTGCAAAAAAAGTGAAATTCCACGACTGTCCTTGAGAGGCTCACTCCAAAAACCAAGAAATCCTCATTCAGCCCCAATTTTAAATCCTGCCCTCAGCTTCACTCTTTGCCGCTTACTAGAATGACTAGAATGTCCGCTTGAGGCTGGCTGCAGAAGCACCGGAAGTCACATACACACCCATTCAAAAAAGCCAGTTTTGAGAGCAGAAATGAACATGCTTACAGCCTGATACAAAAAGGAAATTGGTTCTGTCTTGATCAGCACAAACTGTATTGGGATGGACAGGTGGGTTCACCAGGAGGCTTAAAACCCGCCTCAGCTCTCAGCCTGTCGTTAGGTTGAGACATGGAGACAGACATTGATGGGGCTCCAAAGACCCCTGCAGTAACAGATGGATGACGTCACTCAGGCTTCCTCCATTCATATTTACAGTCTATGTAGGCAACCACTAAAGTTCAACTTCAAAATGCCTCTTCAGAAACCAATGGGTGTCCATGTTTTTTCAGTACATTTTACCTTCTCCTTACATCTCTGAACGTGCACAGGTTTACTGGAGCTCACCAGAAATGCATTAACAAGGGGCCCTTAATGCAAACATATGTCCAACCATGGTGTCACATTCATGTAGGATACCTTTAAGTGCAAAATTAGAAACACTAAGTGGATGGTTAGCTTACCTTAGCATAATATAAAGGTGCATAGGATAGCTGTTTAGCTTTGTTTCCAGTCTTTTTGCCGAGGTAAGCTTAGCAGCTACTGTCTGTAGCTTTCATGAGACAGACATGAGAGTGGTTTCAGCCTCTACGTCTTCATGTATCTAACTCTCAAAGCCGCCCTCAGAAGTCTCATGTATAGGTTCATGTGCAGTGTTGATGCCTCTGCTAAAGAGATTATCTAAGTGTGGTCGAGCATCAAGTGCAGGACAGTACCCTGAAGTCTCTGTAGTGCTGTAGTACTCGAAATCAGTCTTGGTCTCAAATTATTACAAAAATAAATAAAATCAAATCTTGTTATTAATCGCCTAACAAGAAAAAAACATACTTAATTTTCATGTTTAACTTTTCCTTTGATATCATAAGAAATCATTTTGAAAATAGGACTGAATTAAAAATAAAGAGATCTTTTCCGATGAAATGATTTTTGCTGATTATTTTTATAAATGTAGTGTCTGAGTTAATGTCAGATTTGTCTCAAATCAAACACGACCTTTCGTGAGTAGTGACTCAGTGTGTCTGTGAGACTGGCTGAATCCGTTCTTAGTTAACTGACCCTGCGTGGCTATTAGATTAACCTCTGACCTGTTAAATCGGATACAGGAAGGCGACCTGCTTTCCTTGGCTTTTTAGAGACGATAAAGCTAATCCTAGAAGGTTATTGTGTTCCTTTAAGACATAAAAGGAAATTCTAAAATCACCATCCGTCAACAAAGCAGATTGAAATCACTCCATGCATCATGAATATAATCCCCTGATCGTCTTGTGTTTCTCTTATTCCTCATGTCACAGGACACTATTGGCCACCTGGATAGTGAGCTGAGGAACCTGAAGGGTGAGATGGCTCAGCACCTGAGAGAGTATCAGGACCTGCTCAATGTGAAGATGGCCCTGGACATCGAGATCGCTGCCTACAGGTGCTGACTGCGTGTGGTATCTTTAAAACTGGGCCTTCAATTGTTACGTATTGTGATCTAAATGACTAACAGATATATTCAATTCTTGGAAACAATCCAAATGATTGCTTCAATATGCAGAAACATAATCCAAGCAAATTCACCAAATCAGAACATGTTCGATAAAGTGCTTTTTTCTGCCACTGACAGGCTCAGATGGTTCTCTCAAGTGTCTGACAACATTAAAGAAAGGATCCCTTCAAAGATAGACCTTTTTATTAAAGAGAAAGATGTTGTTTTTTAAACCAGAAACAGCTGTTACATCGCTCTCTTCAAAGCCACCGAACTCCATTGACAAACCCTAACCATGCAGGACATGGGAGTTGCTGTTCTGACATTTTTTGAGGCCATGTTTGTCTTTATTAGATAGGACAGCTGAAGAGAGACAGGAAATATTGAAGGGCCGAGGTCAGATTTGAACCCTTGGCCGCTGCGTCGAGAACTGAAGCCATCTGTACATGGTGTATGCCACATAACCGCTAAGCTATCCGGCACCCAGGAATTGCTGTTCTAGCGCTGCTTTGATTGCTTAATTTATTTTTGTGTCACTGTGAGACTTTGTGTGTTACAAAAATATCGAGATGGATCGAATGTAACCTTTTAAAACACCAATCAAACAGATATTCCAAGAATGTGGAGGATCAGGTGAATTACTGATTTTATAAATGGAGTCTGGTGGCTTTTAAGAGGGCGATGTAGTGGCTGCTGCTGGTTCCGTACTCTTTATGAAAAGGTCTAAACTCTGTAGGCATCCTTTCTATAATGTTGTCAGACATATACAATGATGAAATGAAAATAAGCACTTTTAGTGGATGTACTGTGATGGAGCTACTAGTGTCAGCATGTTTCTACTGCAGCACCTCCAAACCTTTCTGTTCCTAGAAATAATTTAGACCATCAAATATATAAAAAAAAGAAAAAAAAGAAAAGAAAAAAGCCCAGCTTTAAAAAGACTGTTAGTGTCCTTTAAAGAATCATTACAAATCTTTAGCCGTGTGTGCTGTGTTCACTCTGTGTGTCCCCTCCCCATGTTTGTTTCCTTTGGTCTTATAAGGAAACTTCTGGAAGGGGAGGAGACTCACTTTAACTCAGGGATGTCGTTTGGTGCAGCGACCTACAGCTACCAGCCTCGGGGCTCCATCGGCTCGTCCAGGAGCGGCCAGAGGGAGAAAGAAGGAGCCACGAAGGAGAGCTTCAAGGAGAGCCGTGAGGATAAGGACGAGGCTGACATCAACTCCAACAACTGACGAGAGACACAGACAGAGATCTGGAGGGTGAAAGAGGGAATATACTTTATATGTGTTATGATTTTATTAGCAACACTAATGCAAATATTTCAGAATTAGAGCTTTAAGTCAGTACTTTGGGTGATTATCAATGTTTTATGGTTGGAAGATTCTTCAATGTAGAACTAAATGAGACAGATTTCCAGGTCTCTGCAGGTTTCTGTGTAGAGGACACATTGTCTCAAGACAAAAGAAATATGCATTTACTTCAAATGAAATAACAAAAGTACTGTAAGAAAAGAAATATGTGACCAAATGTTGAATGTTGCAGTGTTGAATTTTCTTTATGATGCTGTGTGTGACTGAACTGAATTCTGTGTAAAAGGCGAGCAAAAAACTAAATCAGAGGTCAAATTGAATTTCCCCTCACGGAATCAATAAAGAATATATCAAATTCTCTTTAAAAGACAAAAAGTGTTGTGTTTACATTTTGTTAAAGGGACAAACATCAGCCAGTATCAAATGTGACAGATTTAGCTCAAAGTCTCTGGAGGTTATGGCACTTTTTTAAATCGTGAAAGTAAACTCACTAAAGCCCATAAGCACTTTCACAAATACTAAACGGGACAGTACTGTCTTAAGCGTACGGAGCAAACTGATTTAGGGTGTGTCAGTTTTGGGCGTGCAATCTGGCTGCTGGAGTGAGGCGCATGATGCCAAGAGGCTAGATTAAGTCCTTTAATTATACAAGATGAATCAAACCTATCAGAGTGTCAGCTGTCATATTGTAATCAATTCTTTTTCATTTCTATATCCTCAGTTCATAGCAAAAGTTATCTCGGGACACCTTACAAAAAGAGCATGTGTGGACTGCATTATTAGTGTTATTTAAAAAGACCAATCATTAATCTACGATGAGTGGCACTTGTCAACATTTGGAAACATTGGCATGAAAAAAGTCCCTTTTGATACTTTAAGAATCAGTCTCATTGGAGAACATTTTTTCTTTTTGGATTTATTTTGGTATAAAGAGGACCTGTGCAAAATCAAGTATTGTATTAAACACGAGGAAAAGCAGATGAATACAAAAACTGAGTAATAGTTCTTATATATTTGCTGACAATAGTAGGAAGTTGTTCTGGTAACTGGAGAGGTGCCAGGGCACTTCCCGAGTACTGCTGAGGTGCCCTTGAGCAAGGCACTGAACCCCAAACAGCTCTGATGCGCTCCCTGTAGCAGCCCCACTCTGACATCACTAACCCATGTCCACACGTCCTGTTTGTTCCTATGTGTGAGGAACATGTCTCTCAATAACAGAGTAAACCAAAATTTCCCCTCAGGGATTAATAAAGTCTAAAAAAAAAAACTTTATTTTTTCTAAATTACAAATTATATTGTTATTTCAATATTGAACAATGTTATTGCACATTGCATATTTCTCTCGTATCGTGCAGGCCTTCTTCCCACCACAAACAATTGAATCAAAGTTTAGCATTCGTGTTAATTTGGTTCTGATTGATTTAGTAGTCAAGAGCAAGAAAGAGAAACAGGAAACAAAAATGAATTAGGACACGTTTCTCTGTTGTCAATTTATTAATTTATTCTGACAAACCAACATACCAGAAGTATTTTGTAAAAAAGAAAAAAAACTTCTACACCCAAATCTCTTTAAATGTCTGCGCTGTATAAATGTTTACAAAAGTTCATAGCTGTTAAATGGAATGTGTAAATCAAGCAGAAGTGGGTTTAATTCCATATAAACACACACAAACCTTTGGTAGTGGAAGCCCTTTTTGTATCAAGCCCTTTGAATCACAGTTTTTCTAGCAGAAATCACACTCATCCCCTGAGAGCCATAAATAGAAAATGTAGAAATAGAAGTCTCTGCTTTCAAACAAAGACGGTCCATGTTGAGCTACAGCAGCGGTCCCATTCATGTGTGGACTGAAGCACACCTCAGCATAAATAAAGATTCCTTGGCAGTCGGATGAAGAACTTGTCATTTCAATTCATCTAGCATAAGACATTTTTAAATATTTGCTCACAGAAAATCAAACGTGTTTGCAGGAGATTTGCAGCAGACGTGAGTTACCCTGAATACAACGTAAGAGTTTAACATTTGGTGCTACAGAGAACAGACGGTCAGGTCAACATCTTTCCACTGCAGACTGTTCAATAAAGTAAAGGTTAAGACTTTCTGCAACTTCTCTTGCACATTAATGCCAACGCAGAAACCTTACTGCGCATTAACAGAGGAGTCTGATCAATCGGAGGTCGCTCCATCTCCTCTGGAATTAAAGGGCTCAAAGGGCAGGACCAGGCCAAAGTGCAGCACCAGCAGACCATCCTGGATCAAAGTGAAAGTGAGACAAAGTGGATCAGTTTAAAGGCCCTGACACAACAAGCAGATGGCAAAGAACTAGTGGAAATAAAGACCAACTGTGGTGTCGCCTCACGTCGCCTTTTGTCTTGGCCATAAAGTTGCACTAGAACACACCGCAAAGACTACAGCCGACAGCCAACCACCACGTTGTTCTGTGCATGCATGGGAGGAAATAACTCTCCATGCCAGCAGGAGGCGGTAGTCCATTGTTATGATACGAGAAGACCATTATCTCACCACTGTCGGTCACCACTCGTATTATAGGCAGACTGCTAATGGAGAATAATGTCTGATAAAAAGTTGAAAATGGCGCTGGTGTTGTCAGCTCTTGGTGGAGAGGCGGAGGAGACAAATAAGGAGAAACCGCACTAATGGGTGAAAGCATGGATACTACAGCGACATGCTCAAGGGGCTTTACTGAACCTGAGAGGAGAGATGGAGAGAAATGAAACCTTAAAACAGCCAATCAGAGAGGTTCCTCTCACCAACCGCTCCCATCCGACGCCGATCAAACACGTTGAATCAGCCGGAAAAGACAGACGGGGGCTGACGGGAAGCGACGGAGCTGGACACACAGCAAAAACTGGGGGGACAACCGCTCACCGTTGGTACAAATAGGACCGACGGCTGACAATCTCTTGGTGTGCCAGGGTCCTAAAGTGTTCCTCGCCTTCTATAAAATAAGTATTATCAGAACTCTAATATGTTCTATCAGGTGCTTCTTGAGGTTCTTACCTGCAGAGCCTCGTCACCCAGAGACCTCTGGATGTCTTTGAGTGACTGGTAGTGATTCAGGAGGTGATCTCCACAAACCACATCCACCTGCAGAGCACAAAGAAACACATCAACCACTGCAAACCCTTCACAGATGAGACTTTTGTGTATTTTTAGGGACTTTGATGATTTTACTACAGGTGTGAAAGCTTTCAGACTGATCTGACTCAAAACTGGAGGGTCAGAGGGGGATGGTCGATAAAACAATCTTTGCAGGATTCAGGTATTTTTTAACAGCCTATTACACAGAGTACTAACAAGAGAAAAGCACATCTGTCTGCAGTTTTTAAATTGCATGTCAGAGTTGAAACCAGGTCAAAAAGGTTAAAAAGCTCCAGCAGCACTTGCAGTATGAAGATCAACTTTATTAACTTTATTAGGCTGACGCGTTTCAGCTTTGGGCCTTGATCAGGGTCATCAAGAAACATGCTGCAAGCATCATTTAAGTAGGGTAGTTGAAATTTAGAAAAAAATGTATAAATATAATCAATCATATACATCCACATCTATATCAGCCAATGGGGCACCTGCAAAGGTGGGCTGGTTCTATTAGTTGATTAGTCCAGTGAGCACTGAAAGGGGGGACGGGGGAGTGTCCCAGCTCCACATCACAAATATAGAGAGAATCATTTCACTGAACAAACTAGAAGAAGGTAGAAGGCTAAACTAGTCGATTCTGATGCTTTCAAAGTTACATAACGACTGTTATAGCTGCCAGATTGGAAAGTGACCTGTGTTTAGTGTCTCTCTGTGCAGACAGTTCTGGGTCGAGCAAAACTGATGCCAGGAAATGAGCGTAAGCTGCTAATCCTCATCCACGTGTTCCTAAATACCTGATACAGTTACACCTCTTTAACGTTTCTGTCTGTGTGTGCCCTGAGGGAAGCAGGACAGTTTAACATGTGTAATCCTGAGCCTGCTCTTGCAGCTCTGAGACAGACATGTGGTATCACTGCACTTATTATTTGATTACAATCAGATTACGGTTATTCTCAAGCAGCGTCTCTATTTCCTTTACACAAAGACTTCCTACTGAGTTTTGACCGCAGCAGTTCACCCTTCTATGTCACGCTCAGCTTCTATTCAGGTATACATCAGTGTGCCGGCCAGAATAACTCGGTTGTTGTTGCTCTAAGGGATGTTATTGGCAAAGGACACAAAGCAGGAAAAACACAAGCACACACCACAGATCTACAATAAACACCGAAAAATGTATTACATTTTTTTTATGTGAAAATACTGTTTTTTTTGTGTGTTTTCAGCAAAAACTTGTTGGTAAATATCATGAAATTGATAAATATTTGCCATTAAATAGTTGGCACCATCAGCCAATTTGTGCCTACTTGAGGGAGTAATAAATATCTAACACAGAAAGCTATCATCGTCTTTTTTTTTTTTTTTTTTAAATGTGCTCTCGTCTTTTGGAGTAATGTGTCTCTAGAGAGTAACCGTAGCTGCCATGATGCCATTGTTGTTGCTGTAATTCGGCTCGGTGTGCACACTTCTGTTGAAAAAAAGCTGAAGCCGTGGCTGGAGAAGTTACACGTCTGTGAACTGTTGATTGTTTTCTTATGAGGTATATTCAGTTAGGCAAACCCAGAAAGCTCAGTTACACATGTAACTCTAATAAAGTTGAACTATTTTAGCCTTTAACACGTGCCCAGGTGTGTGAGTGATGAAATGTTACTCAAATAATAACGTCTAAGAGTACTTAAATCCATCTCCATGCTGTTTGCTGTTCTTTGCACGAGTGATGACGGCCCCCAGGAATAGTTGTATTCTGGTTTTGGGGGCCATTAGGGTCCTTCTGGTCTGGTAGGTAACGTCTGTGTTGTCACTACCTGGAGCTTGAATGTTCAGAGTTGTTCAGGCTGTGATGGCCATGTGGTAGAGTACGTTAGACAAACACGTTTCTAGCATTTCACCATTTTAGTATCGCTGTTCGCCATCATGACACAACTGACTTTGACCACATGAAGACGCCTCCTCTCTGACATGCTGCTCTCGTCAGGGTTCACGCCTACACTACTCCGTAATGCTGACCTCCCCTGCTGTCCAACTAAAGCAGCATCAAGATTTAGACTCTGGTCATTAGCTGGAGGCCTGGCGGACTCACCTGGCAGGTTGGGCTCAGCGCCATCATCCTCCTGATGAACAGCTCCACGTGGCGGATCGTGGCCTCGCCCGACACGCGGACGTACCGCCTCTCCAACGGCTAAATACACAGTGTGGAATAAACTGAGTGTAAGTTTGTCTCCAGAATAACTGTGTTCATGTTGAAGGTATACTATTAAAT